TTATACTCTGAACCCCATGTGGATTTACACAATTTGAGAAAGTCAAAAAGTGTTACTTTGTGCCCCGCTCTCCCCCCCTTTAGGAAATTCGACCTAATGGCCACAATGAAACGACAAACAAGGTGTGTGAGAACCGTCCGTCTGCTGTTTAAAAGCAGAATTTGATTGCTGCAAGGACCTTGTTTGACAAAAGGAGAGGGGCGGAGAGATGGAGTCAAAGAGAGAAGTGACGGACCCAGAAAAAGAGAGTGTGACTGAAAGACAAAGAGTCACGAAGACTGTGAGTGTACATGCGAGTCGGACAAATAGAAAGGAAAGGTAAAGGACAGAGGAGAGAGTGAAAACGCATAATAAGTGGAATGTGTCGACGGCTGACAGACACGACACCATTTGAGCTAATTCTTCCAAAACGTAGTCAGTCACCCTGGAAGAACATCCGAATGAAAGAGAGAGAGAGGCCATGCTTTCATTTGTCCTGTTTTTGTCCTCACTCACTGCCCTCTGTGTGTCCCATCAGTTAGTTTCCATTTACCATTCGTTTTCATTTCAGAAGCCTGTGCAGCTTCACTTTCCCACCCCTGGGCCAAAATCATAGGTTGACAAAAAGCATCACAACACAAAGCTTAACAAACTGATAGGGAATGAGGGCCAAGTTAGTTTTTGAACACAAACATAATGATATAAATGCAATGGCTTTGTGCCAAATCCTAGTGTGCTGCCTACAGAGGCAGCATTTTAATACATCACATGCCCTCAACACAAAGACAACTTAATTATGCTCTCTTATACTTTGCTTTGGCCACATTTTAAGACAGAATCCTATGAATCCTGTGGAGAAGACATTCCCAGAATTCACATAAGCTGTGTGAAAAAAAACAAATGCAAGAGAGAAATGTTGAGCTTAAATATATGTATACAATATATTCAGCCTAACTAATTTATTTTTAACCAATATTTGTGCTATGTATCTTTATATTTAAATACAGTATCACGTTGTTAGCTTAGCAACATGCTAACGTCAATCTCTAATGAAATCAAAACATTTACCTCATTCTAAACTAATTCAGCCAAACAACAAATATTTCACCCAATATTTGTGTGCTATGTTTTTGTATGATTATATAATCACATTGTTAAATATCAAGATAATAATATATATAATTAAAACAATATTTGTGTGCAATGTATTTTTGATTAGTCTGCATAGTTTTTATAAATGTATACTTCTGTTTTAGTATTTTGATACATAAAGTTAAATCAAATAAAAATGAACTGAAATAAAAAAGGTTTTATGTTATATTATATTTCAGTTAATGTTTCTTTTATTTCAAGTAAAACCATAAAAACCATAATGTCAAACTTTTGTTTATTTAATAATCAAAAGTATTGATTAAAAACAGAAAAAAATTACCCAATATTTTATACGATGTATTTTATCATTATACGTATCATCACAGTGTTAGCTTAGCAACATGCTAACATTCTTCACTGAAATCAATTGTGAATCGAGTTATTTGTGTGCCATGCAGTTTGACTTGTCACGTATAAGGATAGGATGCTCCCTTAAAAGGCAGCTGCTTGTAGGTATAGTAGGCAACAAGACAGCTCAGTAGGTTTTGGAACAAAGCTAATGATTAACTAAATTTCTTGATTGCTAGCAGAGCATGAGAATGAGGAAGGCCTTTTTTTTGCTGACATCATTTCCAAAACGTTTGAGTTTCTGTCTCTCCTGCAAGGCCGTTTGAAGACAAATGACCTCATGCGGCTTTATATTCGGTTGCTTTAAAAAGCAGGAAGGAATTCCAGTGCCGTTCTCTCAAGATTTATACTGTCTGCATGCTGATGGCCCCCTGAGGGGTTTTGATTCTCTTCTCGATGCACATACGTCTTCCTTTGGGCATAATTTGTTCTAACAAAACCGGTACAGGAGCAGGTTTGCCCTTTATTTACATCAGACACTGCAGATAACATTATGATCGAATTGCCATTGCATGTATTTTGAGAAACATGAGGCCTTTTCAGTAAGTCAAAGAGATAAGAGATCTCGACATAAGCAAGCAGGACTAGTTTTTAGACGCTGCAGCTCTGAAAATATATTTTTAAGGATTGACAACATAAATTGCACAGATTATGATCACTGTTATACTGAGTTTTCTCATGTGCACTTATAGTCAATCTTTCAGAAATTATGAAAAATTAGTTTTTTTTTTTACATGTTCAGAAGAAATCAAACACTTCAACGTAAAATGTAGTAGCTAACACGGTTCTGGTGGGACACACCAACAGTAGGCATCTGTTTGAGGTCACTAATCTGTTTGTTTTACGCATGTACGGCTGGCACACACAAACACAGATGCTCACAAAAGCGAATTGAACTGATCAAGGCAGACAGGTTACATAATGACGCCGCTAATGCGAACGACTCTGAGTCAGCAGCACAATCACTGTACACAGAAAGGAAATCGAATCCACTTTCTCATCCCTTCTGTTACAGAGACCAAGTGCTGAAACTAAACAGAGCTGTTATATCACTAGTTTACCCAGGTAAGTTGCCTCAAATCACCTCCAGTGTGCTTCTGTATTCACAAGTGTTTTCAATGTTTAATATATCCCATGAATCAGCTGATCTGCACTGCAAAAAAAATCATATCTTTGTCTTGTTTTATAGTAAAAATATCAACAATCAATGTAAAATTACCATGTCCAATTGATCCATTTAACACAATAAGACTGGGAATGGTAAAAAAAGGAAGTAAAAAAGGTCCATTTTAATATTAATATAGTTATGTAAATTAATATTTACACACACACACATACATTTCAAACCTATATCTATATAAAGTATATATCTATATTTCTCTCTCTCTATATATATATATACTCTCTCTCTGTAGATATATCGGTAACACTTTACAATAAGGCTAATTAGTTAACTACTTTAGTTAACATGAACTAAGCATGAACAATACTTCTACAGCATTTATTAATCTTAGCTAATGTTAATTTCAACCTTAACTAATAATTAAAAAATGCAGTAATAAATCTATTGTTCATTGTTTGTTTATGTTAGTTCATACATTAACATTAACTAACGGAATCTTATTGTAAAGTGTTACCTATATATCTATATCTATTATCTAATCGGTTTCTATATTATACTATGAAAGAAGTCTCTTATGCTCACAAAGCCTGCATTTATTTGACTGAAAATACAGTAAACATACAGTGATATTTTGAAATAACCTTACAATTTTTGCTGCTTATATATTTATTATATATATAATATAATATATAATAATATTTGTCTTTGCTGCTTAGTATTTTTTTGTGGAAACCGTTTTTCAGGATTTTTTGATGAATAGAAGATCGATCAGAATTTATTTGAAATCTTCTGTAACAATGTAAAAATCTCTACTGTCACTTTTGATCAATTTAATGCATTCTGACTGAATAAAAGTAGTAGTTTCTTGAAAAAAATATAAATCCTACTGACCCCAAACCATATATTGTACATTTAACAGGTACATTTATATTGATGTTTGGCAATTTTATTAGATTTTTTACTGGAAAAAGACAAAGACCTGGTCTTTTCAATCTGAAATGTGGAAGTGTATTTCTTTGGCTTTTATGAGCAGTCATACAAGCTGAATGATCACATGACATCAGGAGTATCCTGAGACAACATCAAAAGTCATCT